ATATTGAATAATTGGGTTTATATTTTATTTATTTCATTTTTATTAAATTCAACTAAAATAAGGTTCTATATTTCTTCTGAATATCACTATTTGAAGCTATCAGCAAATTTATGATTTAGAGTGCTTTTTGGCAATCCTGAAAGCGCACCATAATCTTTTTGCAGGGTAGATGGATAATGTTATAGAAATGGAGAGCTTATAGGTTTACTTCAGCTTTCATGTGATGTAACAAAACCTACAATGTCTTTGAGATGAGGGAGCTTGTCAGACCTTAGTAGTGAGCATCACCCATTCCATAAAAGTGACAGCGAGTATTACCAGCAGAGAAGCTGTTGCCCTCATGCCCTACAGCAAAGTCACTGTCTGTCTATTATTTGACAGGCAGGGTAATATGGGAATATGTTACGCTGGTGGAAAAACTGACACAATTGCTGGAGAGTCCTGTGACTAATATGAGCAAAATGGAAGTAGCATGTCCAACACTTGTGATAGATAACAATTTAAAGCATATGTTTATTACTGCTAAATTACATCCCTTGTACTGCTGACACCCACAAGTCTTTAGCAAAATCTGAAAATAAAATCACATTCTTCGTTGTCAGCAGTATGCAACTTTTCCTGAACATCTAAAACTGAAATTCATAATTAGAAATAAAAACTAACTGAACCATTATATGCTATGCACTCTAATCTCTCTTGTCACTGAAACAGTGTAATTTACCTACCAGTTGTTTTCAAGGCTCAACACTGCTACAGAAGATATTGTTGGGGAATTTTAAAATGTATACTGAAACAGTGATTTAAATTGGATCAAAACAGATGAACAAAGTTGAAGGAATGAAAACTAAACAATAGTCTCCTTGGCCAAAGCTGGAAATTCAATCCTGTTTTGCTGCTATAATCCACATGAGAAACTTCACTGTTACACACCAAAAATTGGATTTAGTGAGTGACTGAGAGATTGAAATTGCTGGTAGCTCAGCCTTGCAATTCATCCACAGGTCAGGCAGAGTGCAGCAAACAACGCATCTTTCTCCACGGTTTTCCTCTTCTGACTCTAAGTACACATTTGAGAGACTACCCCTTCTCGTGAAAAAGCCTTTATCATATCAGCTTCTCCTGGCTGTGAAAAGCTGTGCAAAATCGTGAATATATAATACACAATCCTAAAGCCATACAGAGTATTGAATGTGAAAGTGATCAAGTACATAAACAAAGCCCTAATGCTTTAAATAATATGTTCACATTAAGGAAGGTCTGCAAGGAGTTTAACTCAACACCATGTTGTTTGAATTTGTTGTGCAGTATAGAATAAAACAAAAAAAAGCTACATACAAAAACTTTTTAAAACATAGAAAGCAATATACCTTTTTCAGAGAAATTTCTCTGCACAGCTCTGTGGAAAAGCTATGGGAAAGTGGCTAAGCAAAACCACAAGGAGTCCCCATAAGACAATTTTTCAGTATCTTTCATATTCGTTACATTTGCACTCATATACAATTCAAATTGCCTGTGCTTGAACGTGCAAAAGACTTTATTTCAATTTACTCATCAACAATCTCTATGAATGAAAAAGAAAATTAGACACAATAACAAGCTTTTTTAAAAATTTCTAATAATCACTAAGAAAACACAATATATATCATCCTTCTAATGATAAACTTTGTTTACTCTTCAGAACATTGTATTTTTCCACACTCACCTTAAAACTAACACACGCCCTGCGCTAAGTGAAGTCAATCATACTTAATTTACATGATAAAGTGGTTTTAGAATTACATTTGGTACATAGTGTGCTAATCTCCTGGAAAACACATTTAGAAATTACAAACCCTGGGTTTTTAGTTTACTCAGAAGAAGCCAAGAAAACAGGAGATGGAAGATTTTAACTAATGTTATCAAGAACCCCTTCTAGTTTAAGCAGGTGACAGAAATTCGATAACGATTTTAATTCACTCTTGGAACATCCGTTGCATGTAAGCGGCATTCAAGAAAGATTGCTTGATGTCCAAACTGTAGTGGACAGCTGATTTCCGATGTCTGTCTTCATATCTCCTTACAGAAGAACAATTTGATTAACCCCCCGGGGTGAAACTGAATACCATATTTTTCCAGTTGGAAAGGGGCAGTACCAAGCCAAAATATTATACTGCTCTCTGAACATTTTGTATCTTCCATTCTTAAGAGTAACATCATGAAAGAGTTTAAGTATCCAAGTATGCTAACAGGTAACTTATGACAACATCTCTGCATAGCTGTGTCCCTGTGTATCCAAATACTGAGTCACTTCCCTACTAGTTAAAAAATTCTGCGAAATACCAAGGAAGTGGCAGAATAGCCTGTAAAATTTTAAAGACTTTTAGAATGCTCTGTTATTTTAACACTGAGGTATCAGATGCATTTATAAATCCAATTTTGAAAATCAATTGGAAAGTGTCTCTTCAGAGGTTATGGTGATCATAGAAAAGAACGCTAGTACTAAAGAAGCTTCTGTGCAGACAAACAAAGAATCAAAATCTTTATTTTTTGAAAAGTTGGTACTACAGAAGCATACTATTACTGTCAATATTATTAAAGAGAGCTAATCCATGTCAAAAATTTAGTTCTAGTTTTAAAATGTTGTATTTGATCAAGGCATACCAATCAATATAAAGTATTAACAACCTTCATATGATTTTCCAGGGAAAAAAACCAGGCTTAGTAATTCCAATCATCTTCATTTATTTAGAAAAAACATGTATTTTCTATCTCTGTCCTTAGAGGTTTGTATTCTGTATTACTCCTGTAATACTCCCATTTGTCAATAATGTTATCGATCCTGATACAGTATCCATACTCAATCCTTTCTCAGGAAGAACATAATGTGAAAAGAAGGCATTTAACTGGGATAATAAAATTCTCTTTATTAAGAATATTTCCATTTTGCATACATTCTGGTTTTTCCCTGTTTTACAGAGAATCTGCAATCATTATTCTATGACCTTCTACTGTTTTTCAGAGCAGATCTATTTATAGCATTTCACCAAAAACTTCCGAAGCTAAGTACGACTGCTAAAACCAGAATACTTCAACTATTTCACAGGATGAATTAACTTACTTTGGAAGATGTAGAGTCACATTCCTGACAAATCCATCCATAGCCAGTCTGTTTAGGAGACTTTTTCAAGGGAGGGTCTAGACAGCCAAAATGGTAGCAAAGCCTGCATTCATCACACCTGCAACAGGAAATAAATAAATAAATAAATAAATAAATGGTACTTCTATACTACTTATAGATTGAGCTTCCCTGAGATTCTCAGCACAAGATTTCCTGATCCATTATGATGATACTGAAAATCTATTTTGTATAAGGGGCATTTTCAAACACAATCACTTCAAGTAGGTTCTGCCTAATTTGGAATATTGTGATGCAGACACTCATACATCACCTTTGTCTACAACTTATATAAATGACATTATTTCAGACACTTGCAAATTAAAGAAAACATGTATAACCAGCTCAGTATTTTAGCTACTTCAATGTCTTTCATTGCCATTTATTTTCAGAAATTTGTGATTTTTTCAGACAGTGACAATATTGATTTTTCATAATTTTAAGACACTATTTTGCACATCTACATCTACTTTTTCAAGGAAAACTCTGTGAAATGTTTGCTCACATATTCAGCAACTCAAGTATAATTTACAGCTATGAATTTTATTTTTTATACCAGGACTATGTGGCTCATAAATAAATACACAAAATATTTTCTGATTCGCTTTGAATTTTCTGGAAAGGGGCATTAATTTAAACAGATTTCACTGTGATCTTTCACTTATAAAACTGCCCTAGGTACGCACAACAATTTTATGCTCTTTTTTAATAAACCTTTCATTAGTGTTTTGTACTATGCATGGTCCACATAAAAAGCTCAAAACATACAGCACAGCTATTGCTCACCCATTCTTAATGTACCAGCACTGAAGAAATGCTACCATGTAACAAGTGCTTCATGAAAGGATTTTTAAATCAGTACTATAATATGCTTAAAACGAGAAAAAGATTTTAAAAGCAAAGAATATTTTCAAATATCCTACTGAACTTCACTTTATTTGCATAACCCCCTGTATTCTTTCATGCGAAAATTAAAGCTTTTATCAAATTTACTTTGCAATATTCTCTTCATTAAATGCCCTTAAACTCTGAATTAAAGCCAATATAAATGATCTAAAAATAGGAAATAGACTAAATGTTTAAAAGTCGAATTTTCTAGGAATCCCCTACATTTTCTTTCTCTGCTTCCCTGGCCACTCATTTTCTCCTCTACAAAACAGGCAAAGACAAAAATCTCCAAAAATTGCAATAATAGCATGGCACAGGCATCATCAGATCAAAGACAGAGGGATATAATTTATCAACAGAACACACAGTGCATCACAGAAAGAGGATTCAGCTAACAGAACATACTGCTGTATGTGACTTTTCTCCAGGGATTAGTCTCCAAATAAAAAGAAGTAACCATTTTCTGCTTATGCTTGTTTAACCTAAGTAAATACTTTTTTCCTTGCTGTCAAGGCTGTGCTTGCTAGGGAAGCCTTCTGGTTTTAGCAGTTATATGTAAGACAGCAGCACTTGTAAGGGCATTGCATGTACTGTCTTCTGCTAAGTAGAAATTAAAAGCAATAATCTACCTATCCACAGTATGCACAACTGGACTGACATGGTTTTGGTATTTTTAAAAAATGGGATATACCATATTACAATCTGTGTCCTTAGGATTGTTTAGTAAGAACTCAATCTAATTCCAGGACAAAGGAAACACTTCAAAAAGGAAACCATTCTCAGTTTTTAATGACGCAAGAGTTCTAATGTAGAAATGTATTACTTACAATCAGGAATACATGCAGTTTTATTTCTTGTGAAAGACATATTAAAATAATAAAAAGGTTGAGAGTGGGAGATGAGATAGGTTACACTCCTACACCCCAACAGCGTATGTGACCTTCAGCAAAAGATTAAGCTTCCTTTGAGCCTCAATGTTCTCATGTGTAAAGGAATATATTTTTACTAACCTATTTCTGTATCTAAAATCTTATTCACGTAAGTGCTTGCATTTGAGCAGTGCTTATCAGAACTCCCTTCTTGTAAACTGTTTGGGATCCTCTAAGTAACACAAAATAAAGCTATTTCTGACTGATTTAGTGTATTTTCAGGGCTTAATCCTAAAATCAACATCTGACTTCAAACAGTATTAATTCAGATCTTTTCTGAAGTGATTTTCTATAAACACAAGTGTCTGTACGTTCACAAGAAAATGTTTTGCCTTTAAAATTATGCTTTGCCACCTCTCCTTACACCTTTTCCATTTTGTATCTAGAATGTGGTATTTCCTGACTGCACCTTCAGCCACATGTCAAGGTACGGTGAAGGAATTAGCAAGGCTGGGTTGAAATAACCAGAATATTATGAAATTAAATACAGATCTGGAGGCACCATTCTGAAGCTGAATGTTTTTAATATTTATTGTCATTAATTTTTATCACTTCAAAGCTGTTTAGTTTGGCAGAAGAAAAATTGCATTTTCCTAGAATGAGTTAAAAAATATCTATGTGAAAGTTTTCAGATACTAATAGCTTCCATCTGCATCTGCACAGCTAAGAAAATGCAAATAACAAAAGCGTATTTTCATGTATCAAAACATAAAAAGTTGCATGGTGATAAAAATGAAACTATATCAAATAATTCTAAACACTTCCTTCATATTGCTTTTTATTGGAGTACAAATTCTGTATTGTGGAACACAAATCCACTGCTGCTGAAGTTCCCAGAGCATGATGCTGGGAAAATGGATGAATATACACTGTACCTTGGTTAAAGATGATGCCCTAGCTGTCTGGCAACTCTCTCGTCTGCGGAGACTGACTTGGGACAAAATGTGAAGTTTACACGCATCCCAGTACAGAAAACAAAACTGGCATTCTTAATTCCTTATTGCGAAAGAAAACCTTATACCTAGGTTAAAATGGCACTAGTAAAATGAGATTAAGCCCTCAAGTGTATACTATTATTTGTGTTCTTTTGTGTAGCAACATAAAATGATAGAAAATCCACTGTCAGATTCAGAAAATAAGAAAGTGACATAAAATAAGGAGTACTTTCAACTCATTTAGAGAATGAAATTGTGGGGTCACAAAAGGTGTCACGCTGACAGTCTCGCAGCCTTTCAGTAAATGCACTCACATATCAATCACAATACAGACATTTACAGAGCAAAGGAGCCACACTGCACTGTCATTTACAAATATCATCCACTTCCATCCTCAAGACGGCTTAATAGTACAAGTTAAACTATGGGGGTGGAAAGGGAAAGAAAACATCTCCTCCATTTTAAAGGTTCAGTTAATTTTTTTACCCTTGTGGATTCAAGGTCACATCTTCAAAACAGTCCTTAAACTGGCAAATATTTTATCTTGCTATTATTTGTGGATAACTTTTTCTATGGTTAAGTACATGATTTACAAATGCAATTAAGTGCACGGCCATCTTCAATGGCCTGGCTAGCAGTTGTACGGAAAACTTTGTGAAAATAAAAACAGAGCTCCACACAAAGATAAGCTAACCTAACCTAACCTCCTAAATTACCTCTAACTGACAGGTAATTGCTTACTATCAATGTTTTAACAAGCCTGAAATTATTTTATGCATCAAAATTAGAAATCACTGTGTTCCTCATTCCAGCAATTAATGAGGATATATATATGCCCACTATATACGGAGAAAATGGGGTGTGAAGAAGAAAGGTGAATTCTGAAGGAGTTAGGTTAATAAATCAAAAAATAGTAAAAGAAAACATTTTTCACTTGTAAAAATATAGAATGCAGGTCAGCTACATCTTCACAGCAAGAAAGCCTGATTAGGCATTTTCATACCTGAAATACATCTGCTTTGTTCTTTAATAAAGTGAACTCCATCTGCTCATGCCCTTGGATTGTTTTTATTAGTTTTTTAGCAGTACAGCTGGCTGTGCTCAAGCCCTACATAACTCTGCATTTTCCTGTTCATAATTAACTAATTATGCTCTAATCAATAGTGTAGATACTGATTTTACAATGTAAATGAGATAAATGAGATAATGGCTGGGGTCAACCTCATTTTATTTACAAAGCCCAGCACACACATCCAATTTCATTACCTTGCATCTACCTGCACAGGAGGGAGTCTTATCAGTTGGCCTGCAGAAGTCTTCCTGTGAGCACTGGGGAAAAAGACCTGTGCTTTTACAGAGGAACAGTGAATGCAAAACCTGCCCATCACTGGCACATTTATAAGTCACTGGTTAATATCATTGAAAACCACAAAGAGCTGATTCAGCCAGAGTGAAGAAACCTATTTTGCATTCACAAGCCGGCATCACCGATCTATAGCTGTAAAAGTAATTACCTACATGTCCCTGAAACACCACATTAATAAGCTAATCTTTAAATACAACTTTCCAAATATGCTTCAAAGACTACAGAAAATCTCTCACTTATGTACACATCGTTGCACATCATCTGCAGTGTCATGCCAAAAAGTACCATGTTGAACAAAATACAAAATTGCAAAATACATACATTACTCCCTACTCATCACAACAGCTTAGAAAGATTTACTTTAATGGCAAAAAGACATAAAACTTTGATACAGTATTGACAAGCCATCATCACCATTCAAACTTGTCATATAAGCCTTAACTCCAGCAAACTCAGAAGTAATTAGAACAAAATTAGAAGTAATCTAATCCAGAATTTTTAAACTCTCAGAGAATGGCAGAGGTGGGTGTGCATTCACTCACCCATTAGCCAGGGGCGATGCAACAGGGTGGCTATTCCAGCGCCTGTGTGGATTTGAATTTAACTATTGATATGCATCTTCCCTTGTTGGCTTGTTCTGGACCCCATTTCTGACTAAAGGCTCTTAACGCCTGAGGAACTGATGCATCTTCTCAGGCACTGCTCTCTCTCTCTCCCCCCTTTAATCCCTCAGTGTCCAACTGCTGGGCCCCCCTGAAACTGCAAACAGCTGGAGACATACACAAGTGGGTTCACTGTAGGTTGCAGCACATTCTTGGGTTCAGATGAACAACTTAAAACTAGCTATGACAGTTTAAGACACTGTCATCATTTTGTTTCTTGTTAGTGGCTATATGATAGATCTGATGGAAAGGAGCATGTAGGCATTCCCCAAAAAAGAGGG